TTATTTTGTCTGAGTGGGGGCCCGTGTGTATCAGCATGTGTGTCTGTCTGTCTCTGGGAACACACAGCCTGAATTCTGCTTTCTCCGCCTCGTCTTTTATTCTGGCCCTTATCTCTCCTCACCCTGCCTCCCTCTGCTGAAATAAAGAGTGAAACCAAGACACAGGTATGGAATGCTGGGGGAAGGGGAGTGTGGAAAATGGAAAGTCTGGAGCCAAAGCAGACTGGAAGGAGGAATGGCAATGGTGGGATTCAGCTTTCCCTACAGGCAAACCCAACTGTCCCTCTTTTCCCAGCTCTCTGTTGCTCCCGGGGGGCCTTGGGAGAAGTCAAGGGCATGGTGTGCATTTTGAGGGCGTGTTGGGTGTGAAGAGAAGACTTCAGAGCCCCCACCCCCCTTTTCCCAGCTCTCAGTTCTAAACCTTCCTGGCAACTTGGGAGGAGCTCCTAGTCAAGGCTGCTCCAGCTCCCTCCCAAGGTCCTCTTCCTTCATCAGCGCATCACTTGGCCAAGCCCAAGCCTCTGGCTCCTGACCTCAGGCCTGGAGGAGGGGCAAGCTGAGCACGCCCACCTCCTACCAGACTCCCCTCCTTCTTCCTGTGGCTCCTTCAGCCCTGCCTCTCCAACTCTAGGAAGAGGTCCAAGGTCTGGTCCCCTCTGCCTGCAGAAAGAACAGGGACTGTTTCTCAACCTCCTGCCTTGACCTCTGTCCCACCTCAATTTCACTTGAGAGGTGGAGGAGGGGGGCAGCTGTCATCTCTGAGCTGGTTGAAGGGGGCATTACCATGTGCAAATACAGGCCACTGCCCATCTGCGCCTCCCTGAGAAAGGCTCCTAATAAATTCAGAGCAGCCAAGTGACACACATCTCAATCTAGGCTAATCCGCCACATTAATGCCACCTTGGACAGCCTGCATTAAGTCCCTGTTAATGGGAAGGCAGATGGATCCCCTCTTACCCAGCTCTTCACCCCTGTTCCTCTGTCCCTAGCCTCCTTTGGTTCTGTGACCAAGAGGCATCCAGAGTCTTGAGCCCCACTAGTATCTCTTTCCCTTCCTCCCGCCAGAGGGGGCCTGGGAAAGAGAACACTGCATGAGAAACTTGGAGGGGGACCTAGGCAGGCTTCTGGACAATTTCAGGTGAGGTTTGGCACAGAGAGTAAGGGTAGAAAGGTGGTTCTAAGAAGCCCACATCCACTGCCTGGGGTGGGCCTGCGAGAGGCCAGGCATGAGAGTGGTGACAGGTGGGATGCCATGTATGTCTGGGCAGGTATAGAAGCAGGTGGGGCCAAATGCCTAATGATTTTCAAACTTGTTTTTGATCCTGGAACCCTTTCTTCAAATGAAATCTCTCCAGAAAGCATAAATAAAACAGACAAAAGCAGGGTGGCCCTCCTGGTTGAAGCAGACCCAGGTAAGGTCAGGCTAGATTTCTATCCCTGAGGTTAGCCCTGAGTTCCATTCCCTGAAGGGATTTGTGGGGAGGGCGGCAAAGAACACATCTGAAAAAGAAAATGAAGAAAAGCACAGCTTAGGAGTCTCCCAGATGGTTCAGATCCCAGCTCCACTATTTACAAGTTCTGTGACCTTAATTGTCACTTCACGTCTCAGTTTCCTCACCTAAAAAAGCATGATAATACCTAATATTCATGCATTCTTGTGGAGGGAGAGAAAATGAGGTGAAAGCACATAGTAACTGGTCATAAATGATAGCAGTGATTCTCCTAATGGCAGACATATTAGGCCTGGTTCAAAATCAAATCTGTTGCACTGAAGAGTGACTAACACAGGTTCAGACTGTCTCAGATGTGACTGACTGAGGGGCATGTTTGAATTTATAGGGATATTGGGCATTCGTGTGAAAGGGAATTCAAGTTTTTGAGGATGTGGTATATGGTACTCAATAGTGTGGTTTTCATTAATTCAATAAATACCTATTGAACACCAACTGTGCACCAGGCAGAGTTCTAAGTGCCCAGCAGTGAACAAATCAAAGTCTATTGTGTATATCTGTCTTTAAAACCTCTGAGTATACACATTTCCCTCCTTAGACCGCTGTTTCCCCATTCTATCCTAGGGCATCCCACACAGGGTAGCTTTATGTTGGTGGCTGAGAAAGGGGACAGAGAACCGGTGGGGAAACACTACTGGGAACTGCATAACTGGGAGATTTTATTCCCATTTAACTTGGTCTTGTCTTTTCTTCCCTACAGAGCCCTCCCTCCATGGAGTTCGGCCTGCTCAGCGAGGCGGAGGCCCGGAGCCCGGCCCTCTCGCTGTCAGATGCGGGCACCCCCCACCCCCCACTCGCAGAACACGGCTGCAAGGGACAAGAACAGAGTGGTGAGCGCGCCCCCTCCTGGAGGTGGGGGGAATAACAGCTCCATCCTTTAGCGGGTGGGACCCTGGAGTGGAAGCCAGGGAGGGAGTCAGCCGCCCCGCGGAGAAGGTCCCCAAGCCCGGGAATCCGTGCAGGCATGGACTCCTTGTGACCTGTCCCCACCCCGGCACCCAGATTCGGAGAAGGCCTCGGCTTCGCTGCCTGGCGGCTCCCCTGAAGACGGCTCGCTGAAGAAGAAGCAGCGGCGACAGCGCACGCACTTCACTAGCCAGCAGCTGCAAGAGCTCGAGGCGACCTTCCAGAGGAACCGCTACCCCGACATGAGTACGCGAGAAGAGATCGCCGTGTGGACCAACCTCACCGAGGCCCGCGTGCGGGTACGGCCCTCTCAGAGCCGCCAGCCTCACCCTACCCTGGGCCTTCCTCTCCTGGGCGGCTCAGGGAGTAGCTTTGGAATCAGCAGTCTGTGGTTCTGCCCGGCCTGCCCCATTCTCGGACCCAACACCCGACGTCCCTCGGCCCCCGTCCGCTGTCCCCATGACCTTCTTCCAACCAACGTCCAATCTCTGCTCTTACTCCACTCTGTCACCCCAGGCAGAGCGTTCCTTCTCCCTTGGCGCTGTCTCTGGTTCTCCTCTTCACCCCTCGTTGACCTCATCCTGCTGTCCCCCGCCTTCGCCCCTGACTCAGTCCTGCCGCTCCCTGCTTCTTTCTCAGCCCGCTGACTGTGTGCTTCTCACTGGCCCTGTCCGGCTGCTCTATCACCCCATTCCCGTCTCCGGCCACCTTGTCTTGCTTATGCTCCGTCCGGCCCCGCCCCTCGCTTGGACCCCAGTCCAGGTGACCCACCCACCGGCCATGCTGGAGGCTGCGCCCTGACAGCTTTCCTCCCATGCCCGCAGGTATGGTTCAAGAACCGGCGCGCCAAGTGGAGAAAGCGCGAGCGTAGCCAGCAGGCCGAGCTGTGCAAGAGCGGCTTCGCGGCGCCCCTCGGGGGGCTGGTGCCGCCCTACGAGGAGGTGTACCCTGGCTACTCATACGGCAATTGGCCACCCAAGGCACTTGGCCCGCCGCTCGCCGCCAAGACCTTCCCTTTCGCCTTCAACTCGGTCAACGTGGGGCCTCTGGCTTCGCAGCCCGTCTTCTCGCCACCCAGCTCCATCGCAGCCTCCATGGTGCCCTCGGCCGCCGCCACCCCGGG